GCCGTCAGCGGCTCCGCGGCAAACTCCGCAACGATCTCCTCCCTCTCGTATTTTTCCTCGGCAGCGGCCCCGGAGAAGCAACCGCTCCGACGACGACGTAGCGACGGAGAAGAAGAAGTTCTCCGGTACCGGCGAGATTTAAAAGTTGGTACCACGTCGGATTTAAAACAGAGATCGAAATCCGACAACATGACGTGTCCATCTTCGCGGAGCAAAACGTTTTCCGGTTTGAGATCCCGGTACACGATTCCCATTGCGTGAAGGTACTCTAAAGCGACGAGAACTTCGGCGGCGAAGAATCTAACCGACTGAAACGGTAAACGGTTACCAGGTTGCTTCCGGAGCAAGGAATGTAAGTCTCCGTTGGGAGCATAATCGATGAGGAGACACGTGTAGTGAGATTCATCGATACGAGCGTAGAGCGTAGGGAGGAAAGGGTGGTCTAACAAGGAGAGAATCTCTGCCTCCGTCTCGACCTGAGAAAGCTTCTTCGCCGTAGTGAGATTGTTTCGATCAATGACCTTTAGGGCGAATCTTGCGGAGGAGTCACGGAGGTTACATAGGAAGACTCGGCCTAGGTTTCCGGTCCCGAGGTGGCGTATTAGTTTCAGGTGACGGAGGTGGATGTTTCCGTCGGAGGAGAGAAGCTTAGCCGATTTGATTGCCGACCAGTGAGGATCGTGACGACGGTGGTTGACGGTGGAGGAGGAGGTTGATGAGGTTGTTACGACGGAGGAAGTGGATAGTCTGTCGTTGAAGCTTAACGTGAGGCTGGATCGAGCGCTTGTGGAGGAGAAAGTACGGTCGGTGACGGTGGATGTGAAGCTGAGATCGAGATCGGTGTCGGGGAAATTTATATCTTCTTCTTCCATTTTTATTTTCTTGATTCACCTTTTTTTTTTTTGTGTGTGTGTTTAAAGGGCGGGGAATTCTGAGTTATTTATAAAGAGGATGGTGGAGACTGGAGAGGATAAAAGTGATTAATTAGTTAACTAATTAATGATTAAAAGAAAAGGTTATGTTTGGGCTTGACTTGAGGAAGTTGGGGAAAGGACAAGGGAAAGTGATTCGTTTGACCTTAACGGCTCATTTAAAAAAAAAAATTAAGCTTATATAATTGTTAATCAATAATCATAGATTAGAATTACGATTAATCTTTGGTGTGCAATCACATGCTTGCTCCACCAAAACACATGGATGTTAACATTTTTAAGAGAAATTAATATGCAATTCCTACTTAAGCAAAAGATTAAGAGAAATTATTGAGTTGGAGAAATACAAAACGTCTTTAACGAAAATTTAAAGTGGTTTTACCATAATTTTTAATAGGTGCGTGAATGTGAAGAAACTTAAGGTCAGTGAGAGAGTAAATGCGCGACTGTGTGCATTAATGAGGCAGTAACAGTTTGTCGGCTGTAAGGTTCCTCAAAATTAGCTTCATGATCTTATCTAATCGTTTAAGGACTCAATTATATGATTTACTGCTAAAATAGTTCAGCATTTGTTTGCTCGCTCTTCATCTCCGTAGCAATGCTTACTAGTTGATCGGACTTATCTATATATATTACATATATATAGAAAACAAAACAACTACTAGAATATTATTAACACTTTTACTTGTTACCATATTCCAACAACTTCAATTATCTCACGTATTGTCTTTTTTTTTTTTTTTTTTATGCTAAAAGAGCGTGAGAGATACATGCACTACCACCTACATATTCATGGGATGGGCACTTTCAACGTGTTAATTATAATTAATGACTAATGATTTACAACTTACAAGTCCTTACTTAGGGAAAACAAAGTTCGCATTTTAGAAGCAGTGACAACCTAATGATATATATAAGTCTTACAATACTACAGTACACAACTGTGAATATATATATATATATATATATATATATATATATAAGCTATTTTAGAAATATTAAACAGGTAATAATTTGATTATGATAACAATTTAATTTTTGGGTCGTGGGTCAGAAATTAAAAAGGGATTCGCATGTTGAAGAGAATATGGGAACTGGATCCATGTGATGGGCCATTACTAAGGCTTATTACCGTTGCGGGACCCACGTCGGCTCCAAAGTCATACTTTGTCTGCCACGTGGCCAACATAGGACCTACCTTTGTCGCTTTTATCAATTTTGTAGTCTGTTCTTCTCTGTGGCCCTCTCTTTTTTAAAACTAATACTAGTATTATAATAAGATTAATAATTCTTTCCAATAATTAACTTCCTATTTATTTCCTACCTAAATTATTATTTATATGAAATATCATTTTTATTTTTTAATCAATAATTGAAGTTATCAAAGCTCGTGGATTGCTCGTTCATCAGGCTGATACATGTAGTCACTGATATAATTTTAAATCTATAAAAGATAATGTTGTAGGTCTTCTCAAGAAAGCTGAGTTAGATTTGACGATTAGGTTTAGTTTCTTCAAAATATTTGCTTTTTAATCGAGAGCGTTTTATACTATAGTCTATTATATAATCATTTCTAAATTACAGATATATGCCAGACCGGTACATAATTGCATGGTGCCATGGTGCATGTTGCAAAACATAACCGCGAAACAAAAAATGGTAACCCAAGATGTCAGGAAAAGAAAAACACGAGGATCTTAGCCTAAGTATATGTGTTAGCTGATAATTTAACACAATAATGCCAAATTGTCAATATATTACCAAGCGATTTGCATAACAAGCAACGGGATTTTGTTAATCAACCACGTGGTTTGGCATAATGAATAGATCCATTTCTATCCTGGTCGACGACGAACGTGAAAATAACATAATTAATACCTACTTTTCTTCAATCAGAATTATAATTTAATTAAGTAGCTTGACATTTACAACCCACTATGTATATATATGAAGTGTGCATATATCACATTAGTTACTTTAAGGGGAGTATTTTGTTTCAAAAAATATATCGATTTTTGAATGAACTCTCATTGAAGATGTCTTGTTTGTATTTGTTTCATTTTCAAATACTATGATTTATATATACATTGCAAAAGGGAAAAACAGAGTTTTAGAGAAAATAATTGATGGAGGCAAAGAATCCAACCTGTATTAATTATTAAGAGAAATCATTATTTGAAGACGAAATAATGCTTAACCTTTCATGTGATGAATAGTAGTTGCATTGTGCCACAACTACTTCTAACAGAAAGAGAAAAAAATCTCCTCATTTATTTATTTATATAATATATGTAATATGAAACATACGTTGGTCACTTTATTCTTGGGATTAAACTAATCCGTGCCTTACATGAGAATGCAAATAGATAAATATAAAAAAATGGTTAAATATGTGGTTAACAGTTTTGTTAAGCTAAAGGTGGTGGTTAGGTGGGTAGATGTAATGTTGATTGGTTAAAATAACCTCCCGTATACATAAATGTATCATGTATGTTGTTGGGTTGATGTATATATTGTAAAAGCAATAGTAAGTATGGTAAATTTTAGGAAGTGTTATTGGTTCATGTATTTTAATGGATTTGAGAATCCAAACCAAATTTAGTGTTATTGGTTTTTGTATTTTAAAATTTATATTGAAATACAGTGTTATTGGTTCTATGATTTTAAAATCCATAATGAAATACAGTGTTATTAGTTCTATCATTTTAGAATCTAAATATTATAAGGATTTGAGTTTTAATTGAATTTGAATGAATTTGGAAGGATTTTCATTAAAATACAAAGACCCAAATACAAGGTCTAACCTTGATATTTGAGTGGATTTGATTTTTTTCTATTTTGCTGATTTTGAAATCAATAAATTTATCAAATCCAAAAAAGATTTATAAATCCACCAAAATACAAGAACCAATAACCTCTACTTAGTCAAAAAGTTTGGTAAATTCAATTTGTTTTACTCCTCTTCTCTAAGCTCTCTCTCGTCTCTTTTCGACAGTTCTAGAATGGAGCTCACGTTCTAACATCACTATATGATTATGTGGACCCTTTTTATTACAGTAATGTTAAACCAATCTAAAATCTCATTCAAACTTATGTTGTGTTAGTTTATGGTATACTCCATATTTTATGAGGAATTTATTGGATTTGCATGAATTCCAATTGACCTATTTTCTCAAAATTCTATACTCCATTTTTGTTATTTAGCAAATGTTATTTTCGAGACTGCTATAAAAGCATCGGAGTCATGTTCACGCCCAAAAAAATACGCATTGGAGTGTAAAACCATATATCTTTATGACGTGCAATGCATCTTAGCTTGAATTGTTTTTGTTAATTTATTATAATTATTTGTTCTAATTAAGCTCCATGGTTAGTACAAAGCACTTTAATTTAACAAGTTTGACTTGGTCATATGATATCACATGTACCAACGTTCATTGAGATCAAAACATAACAGAAACTCCTAATCATCACCTTGGAGCCCACAACCAATTTATCTAATAAAAACAACATACCATATGGGTTGTCAAATACACTGAATTATGCCATTTTATAAGTTGAAACGACTTAAAATAACTAAATAAAAACATAATGGAGACTGAAACAAATACAAATAGTGTTACTTAGAATTAATTTTTGACATAACCAACATACAAAGGAACATGCACACAATATGTCTACAGATTATAGAATATAACTATTTGAGGTTAGTTAGTAGTACCAATAATCTACAGTTGCATCTAGAAGTCAAATAGTCAACGTTTGTGGCTGACTAATTCGATCGCGGCCCATAGCTGTAAATGGGCTTTGTGTGATGGTTTGATTTCGAATTCGCAAGTCTTCTTTCTCATGGGGTCACTATATCTACTATATATGCAGTTTGATGTAACAAGGACAAAATGTGACTACAAAATATGGAATATCAATTAACATTAGGGGGAAAAAAAGAACTCACATTTCAGTTACTCTTTTATTTAACTTTCTCTTACACTTTAACCAAACAGAACATTTTCCTCTTTCATCGTCTCTTGTACTTTTGCCTACCTGTTTCTGTGTCGTTATTTGTTTTTACTGCTTAGGTGCTTCAAATCTACTGAAGAGTCTATAGGAAGAGATGAGTGAAAGCAACATGTAGAGAATAGACACAAGAAATGTGAACATAACTGAGATCAGTGCCTTGTGACAAAAGACTCCGTAGTAATCACAAGCAGAGCTCCAAGTGATGGCTAAGTTTCCTTTATATGCTAAGTAAACCGTCTCTGCAGATACAGTTCCAGCCGCTAGAACCGCATACGTGACAACTTGGTCAAGCAAGAAAAATGTCCAGACTCGGAGCTTGCTTATTGGACACGGAATAGCTATTACATAGATAGCAGAAAGAAGAGAATATGCAGCACAAACTCCATTAGCATTCGCCAAATACCTACAAGAAAACGAAAGCAAATTAAGGTTCATTGTTTGATTACTCTCAAAGTGAAGCAAGAAGAGAAAGAGAGAGAGAAGAAGAAGGTGCACTTGAAAGCTCCAAGACTTGAGTAAGAAAGAGAGCCAAATTCGTTGGAGATAGAGTTCTTGATCATGATCACGAGACCCGCAATACTTAGAGCCATTGATGCTACTCGTAAGACCGTCTCTACCGTTCTCTCCGTGCGGTTTAGCTCTAAGGCTGAGCCGTCAATAGCGTCTTGATCAGTCTTGTCCATTTTTTTGTTTTTGTGTTAGGGAAAGAGTGATCTTTGCCTCTTATAGTGTTAAGCCTTTCAAGTCGTCATAATAGACAAATCAGCCGCTCAAGCATTCAATATAATCATGTGATGATTATGATGTAACCAGTCTCAATTTTAGGTAACTGTCTTGTTTTGTTTGCCCCAATTTGTCAGTTTATCTAAATTTGGTATTGCGTACCAGAAATGACTAAGAATTTATATTTGACTAGACTTTATTAGTTACTGAATTTAAATTTACACGTCTAGCAAACACAAGTATCTAATTTTCTTTCGATTTTATGTTTCAATTCTATGAATTAACTAGAGTAAAGCTAGTTTTTATATATATTTTTGGTTTTAATGCTAGTTTCATTTTCAAATCAAAATCAACAGAGTTACAGTTTAAATTTGGTTGAAAATCGAATAAAACAAAAGCAGAAAATATCCAAATCAAACTTAAATAGATATTCTGAACTGAAAAACCAAAGAAACCTAAATTAAACCGAATCGATACCATATTGAACACCTATACTGACAAATATCAAAAAAATACCATAATGGTACTTAAAATAATAATGTGATAATAAGAGAAATTCAAACATAAAAAAGTTATATGATACTTGAATAGAGTTTAAAGTGTCTGTATAGCTTCCGAACTTTCGTATGCAAATGATGAGCATTGCATTTGCATCAACCGATATACCTCATAAATGTATATCTCAATAACAAGTCGTCTAATCATCATTTTCTCAATTGGTTAGAAAAATCCCAATTCAATAACATTCATCAAGTATTGGACCCTCTGACGCAACAAAAGACTCAGATCTATAATCATATCTTTATACAGTTAGTTCTACGAATAAATGTATGCTTAAGTCGAGTTTAGAATATTAAATATATTCGATCTATTGCTTGGCGCGACCAAAGGAATGTTGACTACTTTCAATTCTCAAAGACAAATCGATTAGAATCTGAAATAGTGCAAGTGTGATGAATAGAATCGAATTCGTAGCACTAGTAATCGTATCAAAATTAGGTTTATAGTATATAGACCATTGCATTGCAGCATCCACGTGTCACAGCTTCAATCATGATACGAGTATAAGAAATCTATTTATTCCACCTCGTGATTTCAGTTAGGCCTTTTGAGGGATTAAAATTTTAAAACAAAGTGATCTTAGATCTAATTTGAACCTAGTCAACAAAATAGTTAACTTTTGGTTAAAATTTGTACTAATAACAAATTCTCCTAAATATGCCTTGAAAACATGATTTATCAACCTCATAAGTCATAAACATACTACGCGCTTTTGATAACCCAAATAGCATTAAAAGTCATTCATACAAAATATGCTTAGTTTTGAAGACTATATTCCATTCATTCCAATCTTTCATTAAAATCTGATAATAACAACTTTTTAAATCAACCTTAGAAAATTGTGAAGCAATCTAAACCACGCCTACGACTTCATCAACAAGGTTGGCTTGATCAAGGAGTTAGATGACTCCGAGTTCATGGAAGATTCCATGAGAAGATCGGAGCTACCTCCAATTTGGTTTACTCGAAGATCTGACATGGTCTAATCGGTATAGTTTTGGAGGATACCGCTGACTTTAAAAGAGTTGAAAAAGTAAAATAAGCTATATTTTTATTTTACCTCCGACTTTTTCTTTGCTTTACTAATAATTTACTTAAATAGCTTTTGTTCTTTCAGAAATCGAAAGACCTAAAAGCTGATCAAACTGTTACCACTGATGTGGTCTAGTTTATGCCTTATTATGTAGTAGTGTTTTAATGTTGTCTTTGGTTATATCAGCCTTTGTGTACAGTTACACCTAAGAACGTTTGGTTGTGTATTTTCAGAGCAAACTCAACATTATGCAGCTTATTTAGATTATTTTCCCAACAAAACATCCAATAAATTAAAAAAAAACTTTCCACTTTCTCTGTAGATACTGAGAATTTCCCTATGCAGCTATCAGTGCTGGTGCATGGGATAATATTAGCTGACTCTTCTAGATGGTTAAATGTGTCTCATGAATTAGATGTCTTTCCTAATCGCTAAAGTCTGGTTTGTTAGTGCTTAAACTATCAAATAAAGCAAGCCAAGAATTTTCTGATTTAAAAACTGAATAACTTTTAAACCAAAATTGTTATTGGTATGATTCCAATTCAACGACCTCTCCAATTGATTCAAGATTCCAAAAGAAGTTGGTTTATAGCTTAGTTCTTCCTCTTTTTTTGGTCGGAATCCTCCAATTAGCGCTCCTATCCAAACTTCTAAGATCATTTTAGACATGTATAAAAATTAAAACCTAAACAATTGACGAACCAGTTTCAGGCAAGTAATAGATATTCCTTATACGATTATCTTCTCCTTTTGATAATTAATTAAAAGAAAGAAAAAAGAAAGAAAGGGTCACTATACAATATTTTTTATAAAGTGATATTAGATTCTAAGTTCTAGGGAAAAAGTTCAAAAAGAAAAGAAAAACGTGTAAAGTTTTTTTATTTGTTTTGTTATATCTAAGTGTATTATATAACGTGACAGTGTAACACGATAAGTCAATCCCATCCATGACCAAATTTCAGTATATATATGAGTATGTGTGTGTATATATATCTAGAGTCTAACATGGAGAAATAGAGAACGAAACAGAGCCAAGGTCAACTTGCCAGACACAAAATCAACAGATGAATGGTACGTACTGACCAAATGAATGGTCAATAAACCGGTTGTGTTTAAACCGGCAAGTCATCCTTGGCTCAACCCCACTCTTTACTCCTTCATGCAAGACCCACTGATACAACAGGAGACTCCCATCATCGTCTCTCGATCCAAAGCTACTTAATATATATACCTCTTGAGTACTCTTGTGTTGTGTGGTTAAGCCTAGTTGAGATAGGTTGGTATTTATAGGCATAGAAATGTGATAAATTGTGTAGAATATTTTATATATTGTCGATCCCGATTTCCATATGCATGGCTGGGAATTTTGACCAAAACCCTAATTCAGGAATAGAATCTAAAAGTTGGGACTAAAGAATATAATCTAGAAGATGGGCTGACCAAATTTTCCAAATTCGATTTCCCGATTAAATTCGATTAGTATATGTTCGTTCCACTACTTTATCGCGCATATATATGTAATTAATATGATGAATATCATTTAGATGGTCTCAGAAACCAAGAGAGGAATTTCAATTTTTTGTGGATAAGTGGAATATGAGCAAATGGTCTTTACAGTGGGAAATGGGAATAGTATTATGATATCATATTCCATATACAGTATGTGTATGTATGAGCATTCTTCAACAAGATTTTCAAGTTCTAGAGCGTGTTAACGTCGGCAAGAGTGAAGCTTATGTCAAACAAACTCTCTTAAGTCCACTAATAGAGGCTTCAATTTACAGGAAGATTCCAAAAGAAACCTTTTTCTGTGTACATGAGACGGTGGCGGGAAGCTTGAAGAAGTAAATTGGTCCCATGCGACGCCGTATTGGAGCAGCTACCTTTCTCCGCCATAAAATAGATGTGGTCCTTTCAATTTATTTTGTTTCTGTGGTTTCTATAGTAACATATCAGTTTTGAATGCTTCATATGGTACGACGTCTAACAACTATGTTACCTGAATTGTCTCATCATGCCATTAAATATGCGGTGGTAGTTTTTCTTCTTCTTCTAATGAAAATAAGATTGTAAACCTCGTGTTTAGTCTCTTAGTTTAATTTTATTATTTGATTAATCTTTCATCGAAGTAACTACAAATATGAGTTTTTTTTTCTATGTAAATTTGCGTCTTAGGGTTTTTCTGCAAGGTTTTGATGACAACTGATCACTCATGAATGAATCACCTCTATATGTGGATTTGGAAACATTACTTTTATAATTTCTGCTCTACTCTAGATTGAAGCTAAAATAAATACAAAAGTAACATATAAGAAACAAACACTAACCTATTGATGCCTAACTGGTTTTGAGTTGAACATCTTATAGATTTTGACAGAATAATCCAAAGATAAAACAACCTTGTCTATTCAAAACAAATTAGAACCTAAATGTACAGCCATACAAATTCTGGCTTTTGAGTCAAGTTGAGAGGCGGTAAATGTATGTACAGTATATGTCATCTTCACGATATCAATGCTAAAAGTTTGGCTTGCCAACTCGTTTTGCTGCGATGTTACGTACCCTTTTATGTTGCTGTCAACATTTTTTCTATAACAAATTATGGGGTATATATAATTATTTTTACGGGTACGTATACCGTATACGTATCATATCTTACAGCCATATAATTAAAATGACTTTGAAATGAGAATAATATTCTATTTTAGTCATTCCTTTTACATATCTAACTTGATAAGAGAAACTCAAAGCTAAAAAGGCGATGGTTGTCGCTAATTTATTTTGGATTTTGATTATAAATGAAGAGCCCCCACAGCGTCGTTCCTTTGAAAGCAACTTCGTACCTATCATTTGATTTTGCATCCGTACGTGCCAGTGTGCTTTGTAAATATAAATCTTGATTTGAGTTTGTACTTTTCTCGTTAAACCAACTTGTTGTAATCCAATGATTCCGTCACCATTTAGGTTCTAAGTACAAAATGGTTCTTACTTATTTGGTACAATGATACTTGCTCGACATTTGAAGATTACATGTTAAGTTTTTTTTTTTTACATGTTAAGTTTCGTGAACTAAAAATCAAGTGACAATGAATGTGGACTGGATTAATGGTATATGTTTATTGTATATTACTCATCTCATTTCCGTAGAGGATTTCTAACAATACCAGGTAATTAAGTTTGGCTATAAGAATTTTGTAAAAAAAATATTGGTTGATTAAAGATCATAAATAATCATTTTACAAAAATTTAGGGTTTGATTTTGTCTATACACGAGGGGGAGTGTAAGTACTCTTCAACATCTATTATTGTCCTTTTCTAGATGCAAGTGTTACTTCATACTTTCTCTATAAATTCACTCCAGTTCTCACCAAATCTTTCACAAATATCTTCTTCTGCAAATTTTCACTTCTTTTTTCCTTCCCATGCCCAACGAAGAACTTTTCTTCTCCCAATACTCGCTTTCCGATCCAGAAGATCCCACTCTCAATCACCAATGGAAGCTGTTAAGTCGTCCCGGTTCATCACCGAAGTGGCTCCGGCTAAGTTGATATCGGCGACGAGGGAACCATTCAAGAACATGTTGACCACAATCTCCGAGGAAGACTTTGACTTTGAAGAATTAGTCAGAGCCACTGCAGAGAGACTCTCTTCTTCTTGCCCAGGCTCATCCTCCTGGTCTCTTGGTCACTACGCCAAGACCACCGGACTCTCTTCTTCTTAGACCATTTAATTTGCGATCCCGAAAAAATGCATTGTTCTCTCTGTTTTCAATAAGACGAAGACCGAAGAAACGATACGTTTCTTGGCCCAATCACTCAGCATCAAGAGTTATTATTTTGTTTAATTTCCATTTGCTCGTTGAATCTTGCGGCTTCATTTTCAGATGTTCCTGGCTCATTATTAAACATTCTTGTTATACATCTTTGATCGATCTTTTATGTACTACGAACCAACAATCCATTTATATCGCTGTAACGAAGCCATGTGAATGTCAATGGTTAAAGAAAAAGATAACAAACAAAAACTGTAACGAAAATAAAGCCAAGAACGCTCTTTATATTAATTTCCACAGGACTAATACGTATATATATATATATGTGTTAAGCTTCTTCATCGATAGGGAACAAAAAGAAGTTCGGAGAAGGCCTCATATTATACAGAGAATGAGATGTCTTTTTTTTTTCCTATTCCTTTTCCGTTAATTACTTTTACTCTTCCAAAAATGTAATAGTTTAAAAAGAAAAAAGAGAAACTCACTTTCACCCTCACAGGAAAAAAAATCTCTATCCGCTCTATCTGTATCACAACCAAAGAACGGCATGTGGGTTAAGCAATAGATGTGTGATGTGATGAAAATGAGGACTGAGGAGAGAGTGTAGAGGAACCCAAGTATAAAGAGACTTCAACGGTTAAGCAAACAATGAATGGTTCCCGAGTATTTCTTCTTGCTAGTTAACCAGAGCCGGTTTTTCAATTCCTCTGGAATCTGAGACAAGCTTGATTTTACATCTGCTATCAACCTCCTCCTGCACAAGGTGAAACCGTTAATTCACGAAATGAATTAAAAAATAAGACGATTCCACTGAAGTATATGAAGATAAAAAAAAAAGAGGTCAAAATCCAGTATGTGCAAATTCTAATGAATGTGGTTTCACTCACTTTAGGTCGATACTGTCTTCAACATCTCCTCCTGATTGCTCTGTACGTAATCTCTTCTTGGCACGCATGGAGGTTTCTACTTGATCATACCAACCGCATGACCGTAAATATGATGACGCTTCTTTCGCAAGGCTGAGGAGATATGCAAACACAAATCATTCTAGGTTAGCTATGTCCATCAAATACAATAAGAGTATTAAACAAAAGGCACAAACCGAAAGCTATGTTACCTCTCCTTCATTGCTTCAAGTTCATCAGGAGATGATTCGTCTTTTCTAGGCGAAATGCAGGGGTTTTCATTTGTTGTAGAACCCAAGGCTTTGGGTTGTGTTGTACTAACAGTAACACCGTCCTTCTCGATTTCCTGGTGATCAGTTCCGTTTTGTGAACCATTACTCTTGCAAGGATGTAAGTTATCTTTGTGGTGACCAACTCCATTGCTGCTGTAGCCATTACGCTCATGGGGATGCAATGCCACATCATTATAATTACTACTACTACAACCTTGTGCGCTGCCGTTTTCTTTGACTCCGTTGCCACCATTCTCAGTACCAAACTTTTTCTCCGAGCAGGTGTAAACCCCAGCTGGAGAAGCGGATACGATATTCTCTTTGTCCGCCTTTGGAGCTATGTTCTCATCTTGGTGGAAAGAAAGTCTGTTGACAGCAGGAGAGACCCTTTTGGCACCCAGGTTGACAGATATAGTGATTTTTGCATGTGGCTTCAAAGGAACCTTTTCAACTTTGGCGGTAGAAACATTGTGGAGAGACTGCTCTGGTCGTGGTTTCATGTTGTTAGCATCTTTAAGGGGACGAATAAATTTATGGCGGTTTGAAGAAGCCAGGTTATCCTTCTCGAAGGACTGCTCATCGGGCCGTGGCTTCATGTTGACATTATTAAGAGGACCAATAAACCTCTGGAGCTTTGATGTCTCACAGCCATTAGCTTCATGAGATGTAGTCCCATTGGATGCTACCAGAGTTTTAGCAGATTCTGGCCTCTGGCTACAACGGCTGAAAAACAGAATATAAGCTTTCTCTGACAAAACCTCTTGCAAGGTGGAGAGTGAGACAAACGAATCATTGCAGCGATACCATTTACCAATGGAGTTCTGTGTACACGGCAGTTAAAAAAAAAGTCAGCAAGCAGTTCGAGAGTTCGCGTTGCGTGAAAACTGCAAAAGGGACCAGAAAAGAACCTTAACGTATGCATAATAGTGCCCAGATTCAGGAGAAAATCCCGCGTGCACAATTATCCCAAAAAGCTTGTATTCTGGTTGAGGGTCCTGTAGTTTTGACAGAGTAATTCGATTAAGAAAAGCAGGAATAGGGGAAGTACAAAACCAGAAGCTAGAGCACTATGATGAAATCAAAAGGTAGATGCAGGCACTTGGAATCATGCTGAGTTCCAGGTAAAAGAACTCGGAAGCATCAATTCGAAATAACGGAACCTGAAAACAAACTTAAAGTTAAGTTAAAACTGAAAGTGTCAGAATCATGTACCTTGCTTGCTTTACTCATGAAGCTCGAGAGAACCAGAATCTCACCAAACGTAATGGCCTTATCAACCTTCCCACCAAAAATGCCTTCAAACCTCTGTTAAACCAATTTATCAAGACAAAACATTTAAAATATTTTCAACTTAAAAATCAACTTTTGTAAACAGAGAACATGATATATACTTACTTTCAATTGGATAACAAGGATATCAGGCGCTTGGAGTACCGACATCTGCTTCCTCGCCGTCACCAGATTCTTACAGCTAAACAAATCAAGCAAGTTACGTTAAAGAAACTGAAAACAATTCTTAAAGAAAAACAATTACAGGAGTCAAAAAAATCACTTTTACCTCTCACATCTATACTTATTGTTGCCATCTAAAATCTCTGGCTGAAAAAACTTTCGCATCGACTCATTCACCGAGCTGCTGTGCAAAATCTCAAGACTGATATCCATAATCTCATCAGCCTTATTCGACTCCGCACCGCATGACAAACACTTGACCTGGCTCTGCAACGCACCGCCGAAAATCTTCTTCACCTCGGTATCGCCGTCAAGAGGCTCACCGCCCTTCTTGGCTCGCAACTTATTCAGGCGGAGACAAGTATTGTGGCACGCATCAATCACGTAACGCAGAAACTCATGTGCGTCCTCTTGACGCCCAGACTTAAAATGCTCGGCAAAAAGTTTGAGGCAGTGTGAAATCTTGATCGGCGCATCGATCGCCAGATCCACGGTAAGAGACTTCGCGATTCTTTTCTCGACTAGGCAAAAAGGACATTCCGCTTTCCGCTCCTCACCTAGAAATGAGTCGATTACACACCATCAAGAGCGTCAGAGATGCAAATGAAACAATAACACAAAAGCAAATAGTTTGTGAGCAGTGGGAGAGCTATTCTCTTCTCTTTAACCCAATATCCAAAACCTGTATGAACCTCATGAGCAAAAACTTCCTCGAGTACTGATCACTCGGTATTACCTAAAATGTGAAATCAAAAACCCTAAGGTAAGCTAGGCGAGAGCGAGATTTTTTTAAGGAGGGAGAGACTTACAGATGGAAGAGTGTTTATGACGAAGGCAGAAATCGGCGAGGGGAGGAGTGTAGGTGAGACACTGAAGGACACTGTTTAGGTAACAGGTGTTGCCGAGATTCCGCAACCCTAAAGGCGGACCGTTCCTCCGCTTCTGACTTGGTAGACTCGGCATCCAGCTCATCTGCAGTTCAAATCCCATCAAAATCGGTTCTTCTCCGCCGGAGAAAAACACCGAAGCAACCGCTCATCGCTGACTCGCCGCCACGGCGAAGCCAACAGCTGCGATCGCATCTCTCGCCCCCCCCCCCCCCACCACAACCACAACCAAGCGTTTTCTCTCCCGCTCCCTGTTTCTCTCTAATTCACGGGCTTCGGGCTCCTCGAATCAATTCTCTGCTTCGAAAATTTCTGGAAGATTTATTGATTTCGAAGGGAGAGAGTTTTTGGAAGGAAGAGGAGATCGATTCGATGGTGGTAACTGCCGAGGGAAGAGACCCGCCCAGCAACAAACCCCACAATCCCTCGCGAGTCTTCGTATTTACCCTTTTTTTTGTCCTTCCCCTTTTCGGTTTTTATTTTATTTTTAAATATAAAAATCCAGGTAAATTGACAAAAAAGGAAAGACGGTTCAAAAAGAAAATCCTGCAACTGGGCTTTTAGGCCCATTTTTAAGCGAGTAGCGATATTTTAGCTCTATTTTTGTTTTTCAACAGAGATTCAATTATACTTTGAAAGGAATTTTTGTTTTAATTAATTACTTATGGGAAAAGGAAAAAAAACTCAAAACAAAATATACATTTTTCTGCCTTATGTGAATGATAAAAACATTCGGTCAACACTCGTTCATATACTGTATGAACTACTGTACGTCTGTACATAACAAATGCATTATTGTATCTTCGTGAGAAGTGGAGAAATTTGATTGAAATGTTTTTTTTTCCTTTTTCAGGTACAGAATCGTTTGTATGAGTTATATATATTTAAAAGCCGTACAAATCACAAAACAAACAATCAAAAGATTACCTCAAGACTGATGAGAAACTACATCATCATGTCTCCGTTTTAGCCTGTGATACCAACGGTATAGATTCACCATCTACTGGAGTTTCGGAGGTAACTCTGGTTGCTTCTTTCTTCAGCTTATGGTTGTTATAAGCCGCTACTCCGGCAATGGCTGCGTGTAAAACACAAAGCACGGTTATAAGAGACGCACAACTCTTTGAATCTAAGCTGTGAGGAGTAGTTTCTTGACTTACCAATGGCGTAACCAAAGAGATTGATGACTGTGAGTTTTGTGTCGGCAAAGAGAAGAGCCGAGACCAAGACAACCACCCAATCCTTGACAACGCCAGCAACTCGGATAGTGAGAGCACTCGTGTGAGAAATCACCAGGAACACCGACAAGTTGAGAGCGAATGTGCAGAGGGAGTTAAGGGTCAACACTAGGAAATGGAAGTTCCATGTGCCATTGCCATCCATCTTCGCTTTCTCTAGAAAGATCCACGGCACAAACAAGCAAATAGCACTGCAAAACGAGGCACGTAAAGATAAGAGTACACACCTAAGTCCCTAACATAACGAGTGAAGTGAAAGATGGGTTCTTTCTTCGATTTCACTTACCTGCAGGGGCTCACATAGTACATAAGAGAGATTGGGTTTAATTTGATGCCTTTCCTCTTGACAAGAATTTCCATGAAGATTAGCCTCAGGGCTTCTCCAACGACACCACCCATTTGGTAAACCACTCCGATCCAGTTGATGTTTAGTTCACCATAAGAGGCCACTAAAACACCGAAGCTTATGATAGACATTATCAAAAGCATCCTGCAGCTCATCATTTCAAGTCCAGCAGCTACCCCAAGGATAAACACAGCAACAGGCACTGCAAATAGGATTCAAGATTCTATTGGTATCTATCCACAGTTCAGCTGAACAAGTAGAACATATGAGGAAACGAGAGCATGAACAGTTTGGGTTTTCTTACTTATAGCCTTCAACATCTGCGCAAACGCAACAGATATGTAGAGATATGCAGTGTTTCCTAACCAGAGGGTCATCGCAAACATCGCACCTATTGGAATAACTGATGTAACATATCTGAGTACATAAAGTGAGTTATTATTACTAAACCAAAGATCAGTACTACATTGATATTAAAAAATGGTAAAAAGCATTTATGGGTATTTTCAGTTACTACTCCAAAATCAAATTTGCTTACGAAGTCTCTTTCTTCCTTACATTTCTAATGTCATTCCTTCCTCAACCTTCACGACCTTCACGAAAGAGAGAAATAAACAAAGAAAAGAGAGACCAAAAATTAGAATCCATGCATTCTTACTTATGAAACAACGAAAGGAAGATCATTGCAAGAGCCGATACCTTAAGAACTTTGGTAAGAAGGAAGCACAAAACAGAGGAAAAGATCATATGGAGTAAAGTCAATCCAAGCGGATAAGGGAAGTTTATTTCCTTAGATGACAAAACCCACTGCAACAGAGTCAGAGACAATAACGTTAGTGACGAACAAAATTTATCATCAATTGCTTCAATATACACGGTGATGGACTCATAAGCAATAATCTCACACAGGGCCGCCATTAAAAGATACTCAAGCTGATCTCAGAAACAACCATCAAGACTTAAGAGTGAGCTACGTTTCGCGTATCTTATCCCAGAACGAACACCTGATGTCGATTTCTAAGCTACTCGGAATCTGCTAGTCAGCTTTCCGGAAAACTATCACAGTCAGAGAAATCATACATTGCACCGAACCTCTCACACAACACACGCAGCTCAAATCCGAAAACTAGCGATCGGTTTCACAAACCCGAAAGAGCAAAAATCAATACGGTGCGAGAACACAGATCCAGTGAAAGAGAGGTTGTGAGTTTTAAGTTAAACCTTATTGAAGAAGATTTGACCGCTGGAAAGTGCGATATAGAGAAGAATGTAAGCATAGGTCACGAATTCATCTCTCATAAAGCCCTTGCTCCGATCCGCCATTGAAACCAATAATTGTGATGATCTCCGATTACGGGAACAAACAAAAAGTTATCACCGGTTTTTTTTTCCGTTTGCTTGCTTTCTTTCTCTCTTCTCCTTCACTGAAGCATTTCACTTTTCCATCTTCTCAAACAACACCTATGAGTCCTATATAGGAAAGAGACGGGAGAAGAACGACTATTGGTGGGTCCCACTTTGATTATCCTCCTCAACGATTCACGTATTATGGGCTTTTTCGCACAATGTAAAGCCCAATAGTGTTAGGCTTTTGAAGCTTCTAGTTGAACCTATTGTTTTGTTTCATAAGGCCCATGAATGTTCTTCCTCCTCTCATGATGATGCTTTTCATTTTGTTTTTGTTCTTTTCTGTTTCAGTTTTTCATCAACTCTTCTTGGATTTATGTCCTTTCAAAAAGCAAAAAAAAAACAATTGATTTATGAAATTATTATTTTTTCCTCGAGATCGTGAACGATAATATGAAACGAAAAGCTAAGGAACACACAAGTTGCTTGTGGATTAGACACAACCCATCTGATCTTTGTCCGTATCTCCTCATCCATTCTTCACCTCCAGCTTCTCATCCATATTATTTTCCCAACTTGCCAACAATTTTAACAATGTTACAAATTAATCAATCATAAAATATATAAACACTGAGATATATATAATATAAGCTTTACTAACCAGTCACACCCTTCATCTCTCCCGAGAGCTCCATTCTCATCAAGGTGTGTGAGAATCTGTCTTTAAGACCAAACAGAGAGACACTTGTGTCTGAGTTCTGGAGATTAGAATCGTAGCAATGACTATGTAAGAATTCTACAAAAGATGGTACTAACTCATGCCTTTTTTTTACTCTTTTGACAGATTAACATCAGAAGAAAATGGAGATCACAAACGTTACCGAGTATGAAGCTATCGCAAAGCAGAAGCTACCAAAGATGGTATACGACTACTATGCGTCTGGTGCAGAGGACCAATGGACACTTCAAGAGAACAGAAACGCTTTCGCAAGGATCCTGTGAGTTTTTTGGTTTTTTTATTAAAGATCAGATACACTTTTCTCTATTGGTTTTAGATAAAGATGTGATTTGATTATTGATATGCATACCTTTGGGATGTGTTTAACAGCTTTCGTCCTCGGATTCTTATTGATGTGAACAAAATTGATATGACAACAACAGTCTTGGGATTCAAAATCTCGATGCCGATCATGGTTGCTCCTACTGCCATGCAAAAGATGGCTCACCCAGAAGGTAAAGCTCCTGAAACCATTATGTAGAAACCGAGTTATATCGTAGAGCGTGTGAACTTGCCTTAGTAGTATTGCTAGAGACAAAAGACTAAGGCTTGCTTTAATGGAAACTAATGCAGGTGAATATGCTACGGCTAGAGCTGCGTCTGCTGCTGGAACCATCATGGTATGTGTTATTGTCAAGAAATTGTCAAGATTCTTAACCTTTTTCGTCTTTAGAGCTTCTTAATACTCTGTTTTGAGTTTTCTTGCTTCCATGGCTTTCAGACACTCTCTTCATGGGCTACTTCCAGTGTTGAAGAAGTTGCTTCCACTGGACCAGGGATCCGATTCTTCCAGCTCTATGTAAGTAAATTCAGCCTCTTGTCATACATGGTGATAAAACCTGGTCACATGTTTGATCCGTTATGATCGTTGTGAGTAGGTTTACAAGAACAGGAAGGTTGTTGAGCAGCTTGTGAGAAGAGCTGAGAAGGCAGGGTTCAAAGCTATTGCTCTCACTGTGGACACCCCAAGGCTAGGTCGCAGAGAGTCTGATATCAAGAACAGGTAAAGCCACGTCAGCTGAAATGTGACCAGAGTTTGATTGGATTCGAAACATGATAGCAAACAGATAGCTTAGAAATTTAGGAGTAACGATGTGTGATCGTCTACTACAGGTTCACTTTGCCTTCAAACCTAACATTGAAAAACTTTGAAGGTCTTGACCTCGGAAAGATGGACGAGGTAAGCATCTATCAGATAATTTCTACTCATGTAACAAGTCTTAAAGCATACGGTTTTGTTTCCTGATTATATTCTAAACTTGTTATGTTACCATCTGCAGGCCAATGACTCTGGCTTGGCTTCATATGTTGCTGGTCAAATTGACCGTACCTTGAGCTGGAAGGTAAGAGAATACAACAAATTATTAGATAGGACAGCAAAACCTCTAGTAGTAGATGGAAACAGAAACTTGATTCAGATTTCTCTTAACTTTCATCTGCACGAACAGGATGTCCAGTGGCTCCAGACAATCACCAACATGCCAATTCTTGTCAAGGGAGTTCTTACAGGAGAGGATGGTGAGTTACAATCTGAGAATCAAAAGTTTCCATCACTTTACTTTCGTAAGAGTTATCTGACCTAAGTCAACTACTATCTTCCTTGCAGCAAGGATAGCGATCCAAGCTGGAGCAGCAGGGATCATTGTGTCAAACCATGGAGCTCGTCAGCTTGACTATGTCCCAGCCACAATCTCAGCACTTGAAGAGGTAAGTAAGACCATTCTCGCCTACAAACATCAAGTTGTGTTGTTCTGTACAACAATTTCATTTCTGTGCTCGTGTGTTTCAGGTTGTGAAAGCGACACAAGGAAGAGTTCCTGTCTTCTTGGATGGTGGTGTTAGACGTGGCACAGACGTCTTCAAGGCACTTGCACTTGGAGCTTCCGGGATATTTGTAAGCATCGAATCTTTTACATTAACCAGAAAGCTCGCTTGAAACAAACCATTTACAGTATTCTTAAAATTTGACCTCAAATCTCAGATTGGAAGACCAGTGGTATTCTCACTAGCTGCTGAAGGAGAAGCTGGAGTCAGAAAAGTGCTTCAAATGCTACGTGACGAGTTCGAGTTAACCATGGCACTAAGTGGATGCCGATCTCTCAGTGAAATCACCCGCAACCACATTGTCACTGAATGGGACACTCCACGCCATTTGCCGAGGTTATAGAGCAAAACAACACAACACAGAGCATGTAATGGCCTTAAAACTTATTCATATTCTGATTGGTCACTTGGCTTTCTACTCTTTGCTATTTATCTCCAAGACTTGTTGTTTCTCCTTATATTCGAATCATCACAAAAAACCTCATGCCTAGAGATTCTCTGTAATGTTATTTTGGATACTTCTACATTCAGTCCATGCCTCTTGCTTATAACATTTGAGATAACATGTAGTTGACAAATCAAAGGACCACAAAATAATACAATGAAATTTTAAGTCAAAACCTCATTAAAGAAGATTTTGACCATAGAGAAGAATGCATAAGTCATGAACTCATACTGAGAAAAACGATTCGTCTGTGGTGATCCTATCCCACTTTGATCATCTTCCTCAACGGGTTCAGGGCTTTACCAACCATTTTAAAGCCCAATAGATTTATGTGCTTTAAGGTTTAAAATTAGGACTATTGCTCTGTTTAATCAGGCCCATGAATTCGGTCCTTCCAAAAAGAAAGAAGAGAACAAAACAATTGGTTTACAAATTATTTATTTTTCTACAAGATTAAGAAAGATAATATTAAGGAAAATCTAAGGAACACACAAGTCGCTTGTGAATTAGACACACACAGCCCCATCTCATCTTTTGTCCGTATCTCCTCACCCATTCTTCACCTCCAGCTTCTCATCCATATTATTTTCCAATTTTTCAACTGTTACATTTTAATCCATCACAAAATATTTTAACTTTGAAACCAAATATAAAAAAAAATCATTTGAGATATAATATAAGCCTTACCAGTCAGTCACTCCCGAGAGCTCTCTATTCCCATCAAGGTATGTGAGATTCTGTGTGTTAATACCAAACTGTACTACGTTCGTAGACTTGTGTCTGAGTTTCACAACAGATATAACTAACTCAGGCCTTTTTTCGCTCTTTTGACAGACCATAATCGGAAAATGGAGATCACAAACGTTACCGAGTATGAAGAAATCGCAAAGCAGAAGTTGCCTAAGATGGTATACGACTACTATGCCTCTGGCGCAGAAGACCAGTGGACTCTTCAAGAGAACAGAAACGCTTTCGCAAGGATCCTGTGAGTCTCTTCTTCTTTTTTTCTTAAGACACGATAAGTCAACACTTTGTTATAAGTTTTGTAGGATATGTGATTTGATATGCATATTTTGGGATGTTTATTAGCTTTCGGCCACGGATTCTGATTGACGTGAGCAAGATCGATATGACAACAACCGTCTTGGGGTTCAAGATCTCGATGCCGATCATGGTTGCTCCTACTGCCTTTCAAAAGATGGCTCACCCAGAAGGTATAAACATGTCTGCTGTTTTTCCTCAAACACTCTCTGGCTACAAGAGAAACTTTCTGTAGAAACTTAGTTATGTAGAGAGTGAACATTCGTTTGAGCATCGTTATAGCTAGAGATAAAGACTAATAAGGCCTGTTCTAATGACTCTGACGGGAACGTAATGCAGGGGAATATGCTACGGCAAGAGCTGCGTCTGCTGCTGGAACCATCATGGTATGTAATCCAAAGCAAATTTCTTAAAACTTTTCAGTCTTTGGAGCTTATAAATCTAAAATCGATGCATACACATGTCTCTGATTTGAGTTGTTCCATGTTGCTTTCAGACGCTATCTTCATGGGCTACTTCAAGTGTTGAAGAAGTTGCTTCCACTGGACCAGGGATTCGATTCTTCCAGCTCTATGTAAGTAATCTCAGTCGCTTGTCTTACAAACTTGGACACACTTTGATGGTTCACACGTTATGAATGTTATGAGTAGGTATACAAGAACAGGAATGTGGTTGAGCAGCTCGTGAGAAGAGCCGAGAAGGCTGGGTTCAAAGCCATTGCTCTCACTGTGGACACCCCAAGGCTTGGTCGCAGAGAGTCTGATATCAAGAACAGGTGAAGCCACGCAAACTGAATTGTGATACGAGTTTGATTGGATTTTAATATGCATTTACATAGCAAGGAAGTATAAACCGTTGTGCCTTCTTCAACTACAGATTCACTTTGCCTCCAAATCTGACATTAAAGAACTTTGAAGGTCTTGACCTCGGAAAGATGGACGAGGTAAGTAACCATCAGATCCTACTATCTAGCACTATAGTCCGAATATGATTCTTTATGTTTACGTTTCCTGAGTGTTCCTGAGCTATTTATGTTTCCACCTGCAGGCCAATGACTCTGGCTTGGCTTCATACGTTGGTGGTCAAATTGACCGTACCTTAAGCTGGAAGGTAAGAGAGTACAGCAGTTTAGAAGATAAAGACCAAACCGAGTAGCTAGAACAGAAACTTGATCTTTGACTGCTCTAACTTTCATTTACGCGAACAGGATGTTCAGTGGCTCCAGACAATCACCAAAATGCCGATTCTTGTCAAGGGTGTTCTTACAGGAGAGGATGGTGAGTTAACATCTGACAAACAAATGTATCTCCTTCACTTAGATTTAGTAAGAATACCTAACCAGGTCAGCTATAAACTATCCTCTTGCAGCAAGGATAGCGATTCAAGCTGGAGCAGCAGGGATCATTGTGTCAAACCATGGAGCTCGCCAGCTTGACTACGTCCCAGCAACAATCTCAGCCCTGGAAGAAGTGAGAGATCATTCTCGACTATAAAGGTCAAATTGTGTTCTCATTTTTGGACAGCGATTTCAGCTTTGTTTCTCCTCTGTTTAGGTTGTCAAAGCGACACAAGGACGAATTCCTGTCTTCTTAGACGGTGGTGTTCGACGCGGCACAGACGTCTTCAAGGCACTTGCACTTGGAGCCTCAGGGATATTTGTAAGCATCATGTTTCTATTTACCAGAAAACTCGCTTGAAACCATTCACAGTAATCTTTAATTGACCTCAAATCTCAGATTGGAAGACCAGTGGTATTCTCACTGGCTGCTGAAGGAGAGGCTGGAGTCAGAAAAGTGCTTCAAATGCTTCGCGATGAGTTCGAGCTGACCATGGCACTAAGTGGCTGCCGCTCTCTCAAGGAAATCACCCGCAACCACATCACCACCGAGTGGGACACTCCACGCCCTTTGGCCAAGTTATAGAGAGAACAGCAACAACACAGAACATGTAATGCCTAAACATATTCATATTCTGATGGCTCTACTCTGCTATATATCTCAAGAACTTATTTCTCCCTATAATCAAATCACAAACCATGCCTAGACATTCTGTAATGCTATTTGGCTACTTCTTCCTTCAGACCATTATTCTTGCTTAAACAACGAAGATAAGTATCTGAGATATAAAACAAAAGTCGTAACACTACTAAACCAAGAAATGATCTTTCATCGCCTCCTGTGCGTAGATTGAACTCAACTCAAACAAAGATGCTAAATTTCTCACAAATCAGATTATTGTGATTCCAAAAGATTAAGATGAACATTGACATGCCAATAAGAGTAGTGATTGCAAGTTTGCAACTTATAGATTTATTACTAAAAACACACACAAACGAATTTTAACGAAAGCGATACATTAAAACTATGGAAGGAGAATTACGCTGACCAGTGACATGTACAATAGAAGAAAGAGAAGCTGTTCATCGCCGTGTACAAGCACACACGTCCTACAGAAACATGAGTGGTGGTACTAACCATTCAAAACAAAAATTCCTTTTTTAGAAGGGCCAGACATCAAATCCACCGGGCTTCTCCACTAGCATCCGATTGTAGTCCGGCCTCGCCGTCTGCAAATATAACAAAAACTTTTCAGAGGAAGCAATCGACATGGGGAGAAATGCGATCCGTTTTCGAAACAGTCATGGTGATAGGAAAAATTTCTACGAATTTGGGGTGAGATTACCAGATCTTTGAAGATGACGTAGGCTATTACGATGAAGAGTACAAACAGGATCTCAAACTCAGCTAATCGGAAGAAGTAGAATACTGAGTCAACAAACCGAGTCAGAAGGGAGTCGTCCCTCCTCATACCGACTCGATTCGTTCCAGCACGACGGCCGATCATCCTCGCCCAAACCTTCCCTTCCACTTTGATCACGGACCGACGTCGCTCTTTGGGAGCACGAGGCTGAGCTGCCAATTTTTAGAAAAAAGTGATCTCTTATGCGATTCATCAATCTAATGCCATCCAATCAATTAAGGAAAAAAGAAAATTACAATATTATTTTTAATGAATTAACTAAGTAAAATTAAAAGTAAAAATTAATTAATGATTAATAAAAAAGTAAAAATATAAAAAATAAAATTAAAATTTAAAAAACTAAAATTGCTTATCCTTTTTTTCTTTTTACCCTGAGCTTATTTTCCCGACGAGCCGCCAACCTCTCTTCCTCGATCTCCCATATCCGATCTTCTCTCACTGGAGTTTTCTCTTTTTTTGCTCTCATCAGAGCCGACATCCTTTTCGACCAATCCAGATTTCGAATCTTTCTCCTCTTCTGCAATTGCTCCTCTTCTGCCATTGAAAGTTCATTTTTAAGCTAATTATTCTTTTTTAATTAGGTAAAATTAGAGATTTAGATATGAAAATATACGAATCTGGGTTGATAACAATGTATTCTGGATAGATTAAGCCATAGGTTCGGTAATTTGTGAGAAGAATATGGTTATGTTAATCAGATTCATATGTAGAATTTAAGCTCGAAGTTCCTCGAGTTCAATCAATCTGCAATTATATGACAACTGGTACAACTGAGAGCGAAATGGTATAACTAAGAGACTGAGTTCAACTGGTACAACTGAGAGATTTAGTTCAATTGGTACAACTAAGACAATTAGTTCAACTGGTACAACTGTGGTAGTTTGTATAATTACTGATCGATTATTTTCATTATATTTTCAGGAGAGCATGAACATCAACCACACAAACATACATTTGACTATGGAGGTTTAAGAAATCAGATTATTTCAGTGTTAGAGTATACAAAAAGATGGATATATGCTCTCGGGCCGTTGAGAGGCACCCCACGCTTAATAGCATATGTTTTGTAGCGCAGTTTGATTTGTGTGTGTGTGTGTGTGTTTTGTAATTCTCAGTTTTGTACAACCATGTTAGACTATGTACAACTATAAATCTTTATGTGTTTGAGTTTGGCGAATTTGTATGACCAGGTTCAACTAGGTACAAGTATGAACAATTATGAGTTTCATTTTGTCAAATTCGCACTTCTAGGTTTAACTCGGTACAACTATTAAAGTTTATGTGTTTCTCATTCTCTGATTTGCACTACCAAGTACAACTGAGTACACGTATGAACATTTACATATTTGTCAACTTTGAATTCGCACTTCCTGGTTCAACTGGGTATAACTATTAACGATTATGTGTTTGTAATTCTCTGATTTGCACTTCTAGGTTCAACTGGATACAACTATTAACGTTTGTGTGTTTATCTTTCTCGAAATCGCACCACCATGTGCAACTAGGTAAAATTATTAATAATTTTGTGTTTTACTTGAAATTGCACCAACAGGTGCAACTGGGTGCAACTAGGTACAACTAATATCAACTTTGGAAGTGAACTAAACAATTATTAAAGCTACAAGTGATGTGAATCAACCAATTAAGACCTATAAACACATGTTCAACTATAAGAAAACAATTATTAATATAAAGAACATTAATTTTTTATTTTGATACAAAATCATGTTTTCACATAAACCACCCCTTACAATATAAGAAAGATATCAACATTGTTAAGCCTTTTAGGATTAAAAAAATCAAAATATTAAATTCTTCATACATTGTACTATGAAAACATTGTAAATGATGTTTAATGGTACAAAATCATTTGTACAACTACATCATAATAGTTTAGGGGAAGGTTCAACTAGAAATACAATAAAATTACAAAAGTACAACTATTATGAATTTGGTTCAACTGCTTGTTTGGGAACAACTAAGTTCAATTTATTTTAGAAAATTTAATAAATTTTCAGTTTTCCGCCAGCGGGAAAAATTTACAATATTTTAGTTTTATTTTTAAAAAGTCCACTTTCCCAAATATTTCAAAACCCTAATTTTTTTTTTTTGTTTCTTCGACTTCGACAGAGAGAGAGAGAGAGAGAGAGAGAGAGAAAGAGAGAGAGAGAGAGAGAGGGAGAGAGAGAGTGAGAGAGAGAGAGAGATGATTCTGAGAGAGAAGAGACGAGAGAAACAATTCTGAAAGAGGAGATGAGAGAGACGATTTCTAGAGAGGAGACAAGAGAGAAGATTCTGAGAGAGGAGACGATGCTTCAATTTTTTATTAAAAAACAAATTAAACAATTATGAAAAACCATAATTTTCCATTCGTTGTACTTAATAAAATTTAGTTAAACCGTAAAACTCACTAAGTCAAACCATGTATTTCAGTTGTACCTCATTACTTGTGTCATTGGTTATACATAATAATATCCAGTTGAACTTAATAAAATCCAGTTGAACCATAGAACTCACTCAGTTGAACCATGTATTTCAGTTGTTACTTGTGTCATTCATTGTACTTAATAAAATCCAGTTGAACTTAATAAAACTCAGTTAAACCATAAAACTCACTAAGTCGAACCATGGATTGCAGTTGTACCTTGTTACTTGTGTCCTCCGTTGTACTTAATAAAATCTAATTGAACTTAATAAAACCTAGTTGAACAGTAAAACTCACTCAGTCAAACCAAATATTTCAGTTGTACCTCACAAACATTATATTTTTCATAGTTCTCACAAAAATCCGGATCAAAAATTCTTTAGTTTGATGTTGCTGAAGCTCCACCATCGAAAACTAGCAAAATGAATGTTGAGCACCATGACTTTAGCACTGTCTATGATAATGGTGGCCATGCAACTTGGATCATGCTTATTCCACCAATGAAAAAGCTCTAGCTCTAATCAAAGCGTTTGAATCTGAACACAGCTGCATAATGAAATTAAGACAATCTAATCCCCATGAATCTTTCACAACATTCTAAGGGTTTCCTAACGAACTTATCAACAAAGGTATAATATCCTCAAATTGGATTTACCTTGACCCATCTTCATCACAAACCCCAACGCAAAGCTTCTCGCCTGATATTTTTCCATCAGAAGCAATGGCGTCAAAGACTTTGAAATCTCAGCCGCGGTGGTTGCTGTGTCCTCGTGATCAGAGTTCAACACTCCACCAAGAACTCTCCCGCACATTTCCATCAATCGATCATGGTTTAAAGCCCCTGAATGTTCCAACGCCAACAAAGGAATCTCACTCACTATTAGTACTAGAGATTTCAAACTATCAGGAAATCTATTTAAGTGAACAAAACCCAGAACCGAGCCCATACGCTCGAGCACTCTAAACAGCAATTTTACATCGAATCCACCTTCTTCGATCTTGTCTTCATCTCAATGCCTTCAATTTCTGGCTTTATTCTTCAAACTTTGTCCGTTCTTCTTTTTGTTCTCTTGAGAGGACGCCGACCTCGAATCATGTCGGTGGCAGTGTTTAGGTAGCGGCAGACTGAACCCAATAGAGATAGAAACGCAACCGGAGAGAAGAAAGTGAAAACGGGGCAGTTCCGTGGAGAGTAACAGACATATATATATGTAAGAGGCTAAAATAGTTAGACAGCCAAATTGAATCGGAATCCATGGCGGCGGTCGAGAAGAGACAAGGAGAAAGAGGAAAAGATTTAGAAGAGAGGCTCGAAGAAAAAGAGAACCAAAAAGGATTGCCAAGAGAGAATTTATACATGCATAGATAAACGAATTAATCTTTCACGGGCACAAATAAAAGAGATTTTTGAAAAGTGTGGTCAGACATAATCAAAAGCAATTGTCGATTATGAGATGATTTTGAAGAGTTGAAAAAAAAAAAAAAAAACTAACGATTATTTAGGTTTAAATGGATGAAACAAATAGTTGAGTTGATAAATAACAAAATCAGTTGAGGATATAAAAATATTTTCTTAAGTTTTAAATTTAAAAAAAAATCAAAAAAAAAGATTTATTAAACCATAGCATATGAGATCATTTTTTCTTAAAAAGTGGCATTCTAGCAATTGATCCCGCTCTTTGGTTGTTCTCTCTTCCGAGTCGTGTTACCGGCGAGTTTGTTATCCGTCAACGAATAAGAAAATGTTTGCTTATAATCTTTACACTCTAAAGCCTAACTATAAAACGACTTATGAGAATTTGGGCCGTTATTTTTAAAAGGTAATATATGGTCCAGAGCCCAATAATAAATCATCAAAGAAACGACAAGTTGTTCACCGTGCTAAAGTTCTTCGTCGTGTCTACGCCGTTGGGTTTTTAAATCTACATAAACAATAAGGCGTTCATAAGTGTATAGAACATACTGCACGTTGTCGGATACAGCGAAATTTAAAAACGACAAGGCGTCCACATCAAAATATCACAGACAGTGTGTTTTTATATAACGTTTAACCACGTCGTATAATGAATCTGGGCCGTTGGTTTAAAGACGACGGCGAATTCGGACAGTCGAAATTTTCCGGCTTCGGTCTTGACTCCATTCGCAGGTTTGGAATCTAGATTTGCCGGACGCGATTCTTTCCAGAGATCAGATCACCGAGTTTCGCATTTGAATCCTTTTTTGCAGGTACGAATTAAACTCAGACTCGATTTAGAAACGAGGATTGTGCTCGAAATTAGTGTTCTTTTGTAGATGTTAATTGAGGTCCTTTAAGCTCGAGATTAGCCTGTTCTTAGTGTGTTTCACGTTTCTCTGTAAATCTAAATCTAGGGTTTTGATCTATGAAAACCTGTGGTGACTTTTCAAGTTACAGAGATGGATTGGAGAGGGCAAAAACTGGCGGAAGAGGTGATGCAGATTCTGCTCTTAGTCTTTGGCGGTGTTGCTTTCATTGCTGGATATGCAACGTCTTCGTTCCGGACAATGATGCTGATCTATGCCGGAGTTGTCCTTTTTACAACTTTGGTCACTGTCCCTAATTGGTCTTTCTTCAGTCGTCATCCCCTCGAGTGGTTAGATCCAATCGAAGCGGAGAAGTATCCTAAACCCGAAATGACGACTGTTACTTGGAAGAAGAAAAAGAATAAGCATCATTAGGTTTGTTGAACTTCTCTGTTTGTGATTGTCTGATAAGAGCTATGGTCTCTTTGAACATTGATCGGTTGTCTTTAAAATTCTCAGTCTTTTACCTGCATAGATCCTTTTAATGTAATGAGATATTTTCAAATTGCAGACCTTTGTGAAAGTTTTAAGCTGAAACGGTTTACATGTGTTTGATTTTGGGTTTTATCTTCTAAAGTTTGCAACTGGGTATGTGAAAAGGCTGAATTTTTCACCGAGAGCATGATGCATCATCGTGTTCTCTGTGTCACATTAGTTTGATAACATGATTCTTCACATTAGTTCCTGATCAGAAGTTGCTTGCAGTCTCAATATGGCTGCGGATTTGATTTGGCAGCCTTTTGCTTCTCTCTTTGTTCTCTTGACCTTATCGGATTCTCCAATGTCGGTATCAAGTTAGAAGTGGGTCATAAGAAGAAGCATCGTTTTCATATCATTAAAGAGAAGAGGAGAGAATGTGAAAGAAAGAAGATATGTTCTTCATCTTCGTCTTCGACTTTTTAATCAGTGAGTGCCTTGGGAGACTGGGTTTTGTGGTTACGTTGACGGTCACGTGGTAATGTCCTTCTCGACCTCCAAAACCTCTAATACGTCCAGAGGTTTGTGCGCGTGGCTGATCGTGACACATTTTATCTCTTTCGGGAATATGGCGATGGTGATTGAACGCTAATTGATTTCTAAGCTAAATCCACCAAAATAAGAAGAACAACCAAATGTGAGGAAAAAAAAAAAAAAAAAGTTGGTCTTCTTTATCCGTTTTGTGGCTTTCAATCATGTGCAAAGTTTTCATATCATCTTAAGCGGTCCATGGTGGCTTTGCTCCAGACAGATTTCTTTTGTCGCGATAATGCAAGATGTGAAAAACTAGTTAATAATATCTAACTTTGATAACATGCGAATTATATTTATAATGTCATGGATCAAGTTTTTTTTGTTGTTTGTTGTTAAGGACAAGTTTTGAATTGTATCATATCTTATGTATATCCAAGCTTAAATTACACTCATGTTATATAAAAAAAATATTACAGCAATCACATTCATATTACTAATTTTCGGTAATATAGAGATTCCATCGATTTCTTAAATGGTATAACTCGTTTATACACATGAATCTTTTTCCACACGAAACATTCATACCAAAAAAAAAAAAATCTTTTTCCACACGAACAAATCACTAGTTAATATAATCAGTCATTATTTTGTATTTTCAGTTACTATTGGCCGTGCAATAAGTGTTTTTAACATTTTTTAAAAAATGATAAGCCTAGTTTTAAAAATGGTTAAGTGGAGAAGATATCATAATTGAATTGCATGAGAATTATTCTGCACCATTGTTTTGTTTATGCAAATTGTAGATTACATGAGTTTTTGGTCTTTTGTATTGAAAGGAAACTGCACGCCTACGAAATTATATTTTTTTATACTGAATCAAATGGAACTAAATCAAACAAAAAAACTATTTTAGTTTTGTTACTTTTTCTAATTATAAATTCGTAACATTATAACAAAAAAAAATTAGAGCAACAACTAATAAAAAAGGATAATGGGTAACATCTTAATCAGTGTATGTGTGATATCACGTGAACATTCAAAGATCATGACGGATGTTAAAAGTGAGATAATAATGTAATATATAATGCAAAAAAAAAACATATAAAAAAATTGTACTATATTCTCCGTCGAACAAAAAAGATTGTACTATAGAAAAAGTAAATACTACTATATAATATTATTAGATAAGACCACCAATATATATATCAAAATCAAAAAACATGATTGGCCTATCTTAACGCTGAAAGGTCGACCTCCACACAACACAAAATCCCCCAGCTGTTTAATGCTGTTGGTTTCTTTCTGGGGAGCTTTACACTGTATATCTATAATTAAATGTATATATTCAGCATCAAATATTCAAACGAAACGATTAGTTTATAAAGAAGAATTGATATGATCCAAGTAAAATTCGAATCTATATTATTAGATCGATGACACTAATATATGGTAGTTACTAGTTAGTTAGGATAGTGTGTGTATATATGCAAATTATATATATGCTAAAGTTTTGGAAGTATAGGTAATGTGGCGTGCATTATTGGCGTTTATCTTTTATAAATATACGAGGCACGATTATAGTGGTATACATCATCTAGTTCGTCACTCTCCCCATTTTTTTTTTACATTTTAAAAAAGAACCAATTAATTTCATATGTTATTTTCTATTTGTTGCCATAATCATTTCTCCCTTTTATCTACAACAACGATCTTTATGCTTATGATGTATGAACACGTGCCCCAACGATAACCATCATACATTGGAGGCAAAGATCAAGTGATTCCTTCCCTTTTTATCTTATTGATTACTTATTTCTTTTATCGACGACCATTATTGCAGCAGTAGTAGTAAGCAAATGAGTCAGTTTTGCATTCACATACACATACACATACACATACACTCATGGACTTTCAAGCTTGATAAGGAGTTCAAGTTTAGAAATGATGACGACTTGTTTGAGATAGATAATGATTTATTTACCGGAAAACAAGATCTGATGTATGTGAGGATAAGGCGACATAACCTATTTGTTTGTAATAAAAATCGACAAATTAGTTGGGTTGGCTTATTATATATATCACCCTAGCCAATTATATATACGTGTATGCATTTATATACACCATAGTTCGAGTTTATAACCTAACACATACATATTTTTACATATTTTTCAAATTTTATAAAATACTAGCACACAAATATAACATACGTAAAATCATGTGTGTATGTATATTTCAGTCAATGAAGCATCGTATTTCTTGACTTCCCGATATAGTAACACATGTAAAAGTTCAATAACTAATTAATCGTAGCTTACTAGAATGCTGTATACACTTTAATTATTAAAATTCAAATAGGTGAAAGCAAAGGGGTCCCCTTAATATTTCGTGCCACCCTTTATTAAATTATTATATATATGTTTGTATATTTCGACATTACAATATACTTTAGTTAGCATTTGGTAGTTTTGGTTCGATGGCTTATCATAATTAACATATGCAGCCATTTGCCACGTGGTTCAGCTCACACGTAAAAATATAATAATATTATTATTTTATACCGACATATACATATAACTATGCGACAAATATTGTCGATGAGAATATCCTTCGACATTTCGTCGAGCTAATCATTTGATGCTTTATTTATTCAATAACAATAAATTTCATTTTAAAAGTTTAAAAACATTTTTTTTTGTTTTTAAAGGATTTTCAATTTAAAGTTTAAAACCGATCTCAAAACAAAGAGATAAAATTATATATTTGTTTACTATTAGAAGAGCATTATCGATAACCGTTTTTTCTATAAGATTGCATAGGTAATCTTTTTAATTTTGTTGTTGTTGTGTTTCGTCATTCTCGCGCGCTAACGCCTAACACCCGCTTGCATGATGTTCACTTTCGATCGGTTCAACAATGTTTTCATTATTATTTTGCAATTAAGAGCATACATATTAAAATATCGAGAACAACAATAAAACTCCTAACAGTATTTGTTGTGGTCTCTCCTATTCGACGAAGAGCCAAATAAAGCGCCGCAAAACTACTCAATGGCCAGTTCACAAAAGTGAAAACTGAACAACCATTATGGCAGAAAACAAAAGAGAGATATGCAGCTTTTATATTTAGTGGCATCCGCTTACTACGTAGGTCTATAAACCATGGACTCTACTCCTTAATTAGAATTAGAGCATTATGATTAGCTATCTGGTTAGGAAAAATTAATTACTATAATACTACGATCTGATCGATATTCCGTATAAAATGATAGAATGGTGTAGTAGACTAGTAGTAGTGATTTGTTTGCATATTTTCAATCGTACATGTGCATATTTGTAACTTAATTGGGTTCAATAGTTCTGTTTAATCATCAATTAATTTTACAAAAAAATAAAAATAAAAAATACATTTATATTTGTTAATTTTCGAGCTAAATTATTTGTGTTATCCACAACTGGACCATCACTATGGAAAGGTCCGCCTTCGCCATACTAGCTAGGATAGATACAAAGTCTACCGCTCTAGGAATAATATTAAAGCACGCATTTGCTATAAGGAACCTTTACAATACCAACCACATGTTGTCTATTCATATTGTATAATCTATATTTACTAAGAGTATGCTCATTAGTCAGATACTTCTTTAAGTATCTCAACAAATATTATATTATTTTAATATAATTTCAAAATTTTAATTAATTTTATGATATAAAAAATCGAATCAATCACAAAGAGACATGTCTCTTAAATTTTTAAATACATTTATTAAAATATCTTAAAAAAGAACCATATTTCGTTATTTTTTCTCTTTCTAATATTTTATTATTTTCTTAAATTAAAATACATTTTTATACTATCGATAGAGGTGTTCTAAAAACCTTTTAAATATAAATGTTATTACAAATTGAACCTTCAAATATAAATTCATAAAATACTTTTATATACAATAAAACAAAAATATTATATGTTACCATTCAGTTCTGCTAATCACGGTGCCGGATTTGGCGATCTAAAAAGGTAAGAGTAAGTAGTAGTAACTGCCAATATATATATGATGTTAAGCAAAAAAATATATAAATGGAAAGCGTAAGTGCCAAACCTTCCACTAAAGGAAAGTAGTTAGGCCTGAATTAGTTGGGAGAAAAGACACCTTCTACTTTGGGTAAATAGTGGACATATAATTGTTGGCTTCAACAGATGTTCTCTCAATACAGTATATTGTACCATTATAAATGCTGAAACGTGGACGGCCAAAATTAAGAGGAATTCCAATGCAACCCGCGGCATCATTTCGCCTTATCCAATGAATTTTTTTCCCGGATAATTTTTTGAATCTAATGAGTTTTCACAACTGTTATTTTTATTATGCTTCAGAATTACTCCTATTTAAAACTTTGTTTTTTCTTTGAATTGAAATTACGTAAAAATTTCAAATATCAACTACTCAAGATACGATACTCTCGATAATTGGAAGAGTATATACATATATATATATATATATTACAGTTATACACTTGTGGTTGACTAATATACACGATTGTAAAACCAAACAAAAAGAAACACAAAATGTTCCAAAAAAAAAATTATACAAACGATCGCTTGCCATATATATTTATAAATATATAGATCATACTATGTGTATGAGAAAAAAAAATGAAAATGTTTT